TAACTCAACAACAACAACAACACCAAAAAAAAAAAAAAAGACAAATAAGCTGAATAATATTTCTCAAGAGATGACTACAAATGGCCAGCAGGTATATGAAAAAATGTGCAACATCACTAATCATCAGGGAAACACAAATCCAAACCACAATGAGACCTCATCTCACCCCAGTTAGATTGGCTGTTATCAAAAAGACAGAAAATAACAAATGCCGGTGAGGATGCAGAGACAGGAAAATGTTATATACAGTAGAGATGCAAATTGTACAGCCATTATGGAAAACAATATGAAGGTACTTCAAAACACTAAAACTAGAACTATCATGATTCAGCAATCCCACTAACTGCGTATGTATCTAAAAGAAAGTAAATCAGTGTATAGAATAGATATATGCACTCCCATGTTTATTGCAGCACTATTCATAATAGCCAAGATATGGAGTCAAGCTATGTGTCCACCAACAGATAAATGAACAAAGACAAATGTGGTATACATACACAATGGAATACTATTCATCCATAAAAAAGAATGAAATCCTGTCATTTGGAGCAATGTGGATGAGCTTGGAGGACATCATGTTAAATGAAATAAGCCAGGAACAGAAAGAAAAATACCACATGTTCTCATGCATGTGTGGAAGCTAAGAAAGCTGATGATGTAGAATTAGAGAGTAAAATGGTGATTTCCATAGGTTGGAAAGGGCAGTCGGGGAAGGGAGACAGTGAGAGGGATACAAAATTACAGCTAGATAGGAGGAATCATATCTAGTGTTCTATAGGACTGTACAGTGACTATACTTAACAATGTATTGTATACTTTCAGTTAGCTAGAAGAGAAGATTTTGAATGTTCCCAACACAAATAAATAATAAATGCTTGAAGTAACTGAGAAAAGAAAAGAAAAAATAAAACAGCAGTTTTTGGGGTTTCAGGGGAGCCAAGAGGGAGAGAGAGACAAATATGTGGAACACAGATGATTTTTAGGGTAGGGCAGTGAAAATATTCTGTATGATACTGTAATGGTGAATATATAACATTCCACATTTGACAAAACCCACAGAAATGTACAAGTCAAAGAGGGAACCCTAATGTAAAATTGAGGTAATAATAATATATAAATATTGGTCATAATTGCAACAAACGTACTATGCTAATATAAGAAATTAATAATAGAAGAAAGTGTGCATGGGGTATGTGAACTATTCATACTTTCTGATAATTTTTTCTATAAACTTGAAACTGCTATAAAAATAAAGTCTATGACTTAGGCAAAAAGAAGTATCCTCTTCAGAAATATGTAAAATAACACACTGAGTTACAATCATCAAAATCTGTAACATGGAAAACTCTACAGGACAATGGTCCAGTTTTATTTAAAAAATAAATTGTATGGAGAAATGAGGACAAGGAGAGGGAATCTATACATTAAAATGACTTAAAAGCTATATCAACCAATTGCAATGATTTAAAATAAAACTAAACATTTTTATGAGCCAATTGAGGAAATTTAAACATTTCAATTTGATGTTAAGAAATTGCTATTTTTAAAAATATATGATAATGGTACTGTGGTTATGTTTTTAAAAAGAGAATTATCTTTTTGAATCATTTCAGATAAAAGGATAGGATGCCTTGATATGTTTCAAAGCAATCAGGGTGGGAGAGTAGATAGCAATATAGTGATAGAAGAAAGGCTATGAAATGGTAATTGTTGAATATGGGTGATTAGTACATGAAGATTCGTTATTCCATTCCCTTTGCTTTTGCAAATGTTTAAAATTTTTTCATAATAAAAGTCTTAAAAAATGTGCCCCATCACTGATATTAAGAAGCACTTACTGAAGGGCCAGTGATACTGTGGTGTTGCAGGGACCTCTAGTAGATCAGATTATGCTCTTTTAATTCTTTCACCGCTAATGCTTTCAGGAGTCATGGAAAAGACCAGGGATCTCCTATTCACCCAAGAAGATACCATCATATTCTAGCAATTGTTTTCACCTCAAAGAAACTACATAGGCTGTAAACATCCACAGATGAAAAGTCCCTTGACCACAGAAGCTAGAGTTTGAGGAGGATTGTATTATTTTCTGTGACTGTAATAACAAATTACCACACATTTAATGTCTTAAAACAATAATTTTTATTTTATAGTTCTGTAGTTCAGAAATCTGAGTGGGTAACACCGGGATAAAATCAAGACGTTGGCTGGGCAGCCTTCCTTTCTTTAGGTTTTAGGGAAAATCCATTTTCTTGTCTTTTTCAGGTTCTAGAATCTGCCTGCGTTCCTTTGCTTCTACCCCCTTTTGTCCCTCTTTCAAGCCAGGAATATCAGGTTGAGTCTTCCTGCCACTGCATCTCCTCTGGTTCTTTTCTGCCTCCTTCATTCCCTTTTAAGGACACTGTGATTATGTTGGGCTCCCGTGGATAATCCAGCGTACTCACTTCATTTTAAAGT